TCTTTTTTTACTTTTTTTTTTTTTTTTAATGAACAACAAATTACAATGAAATAAAAGAGGATGAAAATAAAATTTTACATTGTACCTTTTAGGCAGTTTTTATACCTCTCTCTAACTAGAAGGTTAAAAGAGCAAAATAATATTGACTAAGTGTCTGATCTTTACATAAGTGCTCTTGAAAGTTAATCAATCCTCTAGTACTCTAAACAATGTTAGCTTTTCAGTTCAGAGGGGTTGTGGGAAAATTCACCTGGCTTTTCTGGCTCTAAGAGGATGGCAGGGCTGGAAGCAAACTATGATGAGCTTGTTTGCCTGTGCCTTGATGGGATTAAGATGGGGTGCTGTACTGTCACTGGGATGATGTTTTCTCTATATTTAATTGACCATTGCAGCTTGCAAACAGCCCATTAGCTAATGTATTTATGCTTCTTGAGGCTACTGCTGAGTGGTGATAGTCTCTTCCTCTTGTGTTTGTTACAGAAAAGCTTTAGGTAATTTGAATGAGTTTGGGGAGAACAGCAGAAAGGCAGGAAGAGGTTGGTTTTCTCATTGTGCTTGTTAATATGGATCTATAACTTGGAGGCTTTGTTGAAGAGCATTAAAATGCATAGACTTTTAATGGGACTGCAAGAGAAAACAAAATGAATCACTGTTACCCAAGTAATCCATCACTGAATCTTTGTTCTTGAAAAATGAACGGGATGTACAAGTTCTTCTGACCTTCAGACTCCCTCTGGACATATTAAAGCAGGACTAGACGGGGAGAAGAAGGGTGACCTGGTTTTGGCCCAGCTGTGGTGAAATTTGGCTGGCTTTGAGAAAAGAGCCTGGTGATTTCTGCTTCTCTGACAGTAATGTGGATGAGGGCTCATCTCTGCTGGTTCCCCAGCCCGAGTGTGAGCCATGGCCCTTTATGTTCCCCCACTGAGATGTAAGTGTAGTTGCTTTCATTCAGTTTATTAGCTGTAGATGTGAGCAACATTAAGGTTCTCTATTTATCTTAATATACATACACAGGTGTGTGTGTTGTAGCAGGATTAGATGGTTTTCATTGGGGGGGGTGTTTCTCTGCTAAAAACGCCACAGACAAACACACTTCCCAGACAGCCACATTTTTCTGCATGAATTTTTAAAATCCATCCAGGGAGCCTGTTTATCCAGTCTAGAATAAATTGCTCTGGGTGGAAAGGATCTTCTGTCCAGCCTCACTGTTCCCTGTGAGCTGCTGGTCCCATTCTGTCAGGATGGCAGCCCACCTGTGCCTCCCCTCTCCTCTGGAGGGGACACAGCTGCCGCCTTCACAGGCAGGCTGCAGTTATTTGGGATGATAATTAGTAAGTCTGTTGGTTTTGGTCTCTGCTTTCCACTAAACCTTAATTCCATTATGTGCAGTGAAACTGCAAAAGGATTGTGTGATGGAATGGGGGGGAAAAAAGGAAGGTTTCCTAACAGGCTTGACCTCTTAGCTCCATTTTGCTACTTTCAGAAGGAAACCCCCACTCTTGCCTCACTCTGGTTGCCTCCCTGTTCCTGGTTTGTGGGTTTGCCTGTTGGGTGATGTACAGTGGCAATAACTTGCAGATGGCTTTGTGTGTGACAGCTGGATTGGTGTTTTTAATCTTGCTCATTTCCAGTGTGCAATCCCCTTTCCCTACCTCTTCCAGGCGAAGCTGCCTTCCTGTTTCAGCAACCTTCAGTGGTGAGGTGCAGATGTTAGTGCTCACTGATGTCTTCTGGGTGAGATCTTTGCTTTCAGGTTTCTGGGAGCAGCTTAGTGGCAGAGCAAGCTCAAGGTTGTGCTTGCCCAAAGCCTGCTGAAAGAGTGGAGAGAAAGAAAAAAAAAAAACCAAACCCACATGAAAACCTTGAAGAAACTGCAGTGAAGTTGCTTAATGACTGAGGAAAGGGCTGAGTAAAAGACAAAATAAAATTACTTGAGAACACAAAGTAAGTGGCCATAAAACGCGTGTTTATGCACAAGCAGGTTTGTGAAGCCTTGCTCTCTGCTTCCTGAACGTGGTTAATGAACAAAGCCTTGAGACAGTTTTTGTTCAGTTGTGATTATTGCCAGGTTTGTCTGTGCAGAGAGAGGAGAGATGGAAAAGCAATAGAAAAAATAAAGGCAGCTGACTGTAGGAATGGGGGTGTGGTAGTTTGGCCTCATCCTCTTCTGCCCCAAACCAGAGGGTGTTTTTGCCCTCAGTGTCTCCAAAGGGATTGGGCTGTCTGTGCATCAGCAGAGCTGCTTTATAACGGTGAAAGCATCAAGAAGTGGTCACAGGCCCAAGAGAGCACCTGAAGATTGGACACTGCATTACTCCTTATTTTTGCCTTTGGGAATGCATGGGGTGCCTGCACCCGGGAACAGCTGCAGGCCTGTGGAGAGGCTGGGGCTGCCCCAGGCTGGGCATGGCCAGTTCCAGCAGTCCTTTGGCTTAAACCTCACTGAGCCCCTCAGCCCTGCGTGTGGCACCTCAGGGGGACAGAGGTGAGAGGGGGGAAGCATTGCCAGCAGCTGGGAGAGGCACAGCAGTTAGAAGTGAAGGAGGGAGGATCAGTTGGGGAAAAGTGGGTAAGGAAGAGTAATTTATCTTTGCTTCTTACCATCCAGACCTAGTTTAATTGGTAAGAAATAACATTATTTTCCCCAAGTTGATTCTCTTGCACCTGTGATGGCAATAGGTGAGGAATCTCCCTGTCTTTATTTGGCTTCGTATCATGACCCATGAGTTTTATTGCTGTGTTTTCTCCCCTGCCTGGCTGAGGAGGGGAAGTGAGAGCAGCCAGGTAGGCATCTCACAGCCAGCTGTGGTCAACCTGCCACAGAAACATTTAATTGACCTCTAAAACATATCTGTGGTGGGGTTTAGAAGAAGTAGTTCTGATAATGACCACTTCTGACCTCTTGTGCTCTCCAGCAAGGGTGTGGAGCTGCCCTGAGGCACTGTTCTCCAGGTGTGTCAGGTACAAAAAGGAAATTGTACAAAAATGGTACAAAAATGGTACAAAAAGGAAATTGTACCATACAGGAGCCTAAATACACACTTAGATATTAAATTGTCTCCCCTGAAGCAGTGACTGGATCCCTTACATGTATATTAGTGAGTACTTCTTAAAAAGTATTTTTGTTTCTTTTCAGTTTTTAAAATTTATTTATTTGCAACACGCGGTTTTGGGCCAGCATTGCTCTGGCAGGGCAGGGCCACAGGGAACATAGTGGAGCTCTCAGGAGCACAGCAGAAGAGACAGAAGGGATGAGGGCCCTGCCAACATTCATGCCAGATTGGTAAGGCCAGAGGAAGAAATGGAGATGCACACAGATGTGGGTGAGGACTCCAAACAATTAGAGAGAAAAGCCTACCAGTGCTGGGCTGCGGCATTGAAAGAAGTCACAGAAGAAGAGGAATGGATTTAAAATAATGGACTTGCTTAACTGAGACTGTTGAATGGAGAGAAATTACAAGTTTATGGCTGTTTTGATGTTTTAAAGTAATGGTTTATTCCTATCCCCATGTTGTAATGGTTTGTTCCCACGAGAGTTCCACTTCGTACTTATGCATATTCTATTGTGATCCCTCCCCTTTATACTCTGTACCCAATCGTTGTTCGTCTTTCCCAAAACTCCTCCCCTTATTCACCATACTCTGGAAAGTTCTCCCAGCTCCCCTATAAAAGGGGGAGCCATGTTGATGAAGTGGTGTACTCTTTTCCAGTCTGCAGCCTGTGTTGATCCGTGAGTGAACTTCCCCGTGTCCATATCCGGGCCGCGTTACACAGATGCTGTGAGTCGTCAGGGTTTGTGTATTTTAATATGCACAATTCACTTTCACAGGGGACAGTAAACTGCAGGGCCAGAACTCTGACCTGTGAGGTGTCTCTAGGCTGCATCCCATCGAGTTTGGTGGTATTTTAATAGGTGTTGGGGGTGTGGTTGAGAACAGAATGTGACCCACTCTCATATAATATTGAGCAGTTCAATATTATGTGAAGGACGACCCTTAACATTGCCTGATTTGAGGTGGCACCCCTGTTTTGTACCCACGGGTGTGCAGCAGCTTGTGCTTGGAAATGGAAACACTAAATCAGAGAGTGTTTTTTGTGGGAACTGCAGGTGGCAGTAGGGGCTAAGTTTTACTGAAAAAATGTTTTAAATTGCTGTCCTTCACAGTAGCTTGCCATATGGCAAAAACTTGAATCTCTGCAAGAGCCTTCTTTTAAAGGCAACACTCCATGTTTTTAAGGACTTGTCAGCTCATTTTAAGGGGCAATGTTTTCACTAAGTGTAATGACACTTTCTGCTCCCTTTGGAATGTTGTGTACTGCTTTCCCCCAAGGTGGGGGGAAAATACTCATTGAACTCTGATTTTATTTACTGCGTTCCGACTGGAAAAGTGACTTAAGTGGTGTATTACTTACATTTACCACAGTCAAAATCGGGTCCATTTGAGTTTAAAAAGTGGCTCAATTGCTCAAAGTTAACCCTGGGACTTTGAAGTCCTATGAAGACCTTGAACAGATCTGAATGAACTTAAGTACAGTACATTTTACCAGTCTCAGTTTGGTTTCTGATCACTGAGAAGACCTTAATTCAATGACTAGCCAAGAGATAATGAACTAATTGTTGTACCCCATGCTCTATGTATTTTTGACTTAGAAGTTACCTGTCATCAAGTGCTCTCTCCTTGAGGATACACACATTTATATGTCTGGTTCAGTCAGAATAAAGACTGTACTTAAGTTTAGTGCATACCATGGGGAACTTGAGAGAGACAAGACCCTAAAATAAAGGTGGACTTGTGTTGTTCAGACAGCTCTTTGTATAAAGAGAGATGTGCCTTCGTGCTCTCTGTACCTGTGATCAGTGGGCAGGGTGCGTGCATGTCTTAAGTTTGGTTATACTGGGTTATGATTAAGCTGGAAAAACTTTCCAAAACACCTAAGATTGCTATTTCTGAGCTTTGAGGTGAGGCTTGGTACAGACAAATCAGTGTCTAAAAAGTAGTAATTGCTGTTACTGATAAAGTTGTACCATGATAAATGCAAATCCCAGAGAGACTCGTGCTGATGGCAGGGTCAGTTCAAAATCTGCAGGAAATGCTCTCGGTAGCATGTTTTCCAATTAAAAAGCAAGAGCAAAGTAGTTTTATGTATTGCTGGGAATTAAATATTTCTCTAGAGCTAATTGCTTTTGTTGGTAGTTTTTCAGATGTACACTAGAAAGACAACAGATAGTTTGGACTGTGAAGGACTCATCCGTGTTTTGAAAACCTTCCCTGGCACGGAGCACTCTGATGTTGTTTTCCCCCTTGTGCTTCTTCCTTGGTGCTGAATGCTGATTACAAGCCATATATTTACACTCTTGCTCCTAGTTGGAGCAGGAGCATCAGGGAATTTCTGTACTGGAGCCAGCGCCGTCAGAGAGCACGTCCCAGCCTCCCCATGGGAAATACTGGCACACAGTGTGATATACAACTGTATTACCTATTAAAAAGAGATTATATAGGGCATGTAGAAAAGAGAGTGTATTATAAATTAAACAAAGAACATGATGCAATTTAATAACTGTTCCTGTGTACTGGGAAATCCCAGAGTGTGCATATAAGGTCTTACTGCCAGGATGTTGCTGTTGGGGAGGATCCTGGGGTAGGGGCTCAGGAGGGGGAGAGGTGTCCTGTGGAAGTATTTATAGAGAATTAACTCAAGCTGCAGTCATGGGCCCTTCCCATTCCCTTTTCACAAACCTTTGTCTAAATTTGTTTGGCTGAGCATCTGCTGAGAGCAAATGGCAAGGTTGTGTTGTCCACCCTGAGTGCCAAATTTGACTTGTGTGCAGGAGTGTGCCTGTACTTGTCGAATCCAGGGAGAGCTGGAGTGCCCTGTGATTTACCTTAACAATTATAATCAAAGCCACACAGCTCAAATGAGGAATGTTTGATCTTCAGAGCTTATAATGAACCCAAAGAAGAAACACCCTAGAAGCTATTTTATTGAATAAATTTAAATAATGCATTAATTTTAGAAAATAATTGCACATGAGCAAATGGCTAAGTTAATCAAAGTATTAATTTGTTCAGCTCTTAGGGATATGTAAAAACTTAAATAATGTGTAAATATCACATTTGGCACATGCAGACTTACCACAAAATATGAGTTATTTGTAGTGTACACACAGCTGAAGAGAGACTATGCAATTATGTTTTAATGATGCTTGATGGGGGACCAATAATCAGATTTGGGAGTGATATAGGGAATTGCACAATTCCAGTTTTGGTGCATCAGTTAGTGTGTGTTTCCCTTGAGACTAAGCTCTCTGTGGAGCTCCCAGTCCACTCCATGCATGGAGGCTTGCTGGTGACAAACAGCCTTTTGACAAAAACTCTTGCAGTTTTCTTCTTGCAAGTGATATCGGAAGTTATGACCTGAACTTCAGATGGCTCTGTAGCACGTGTAGGCCAGTTGGCAGAGGCTGGGAGCTGGTGTCAGACTCGGGCAGCCTTTGCTGTGGTTTGGCCACCCCTCACAGCCCAACAGGGTTTGCACCCTTGCTGCAGCTGCACTGAGTGCTGGTGTCGTGCCTGTGCAAATGACAGCACAGAAAGTGGGTATTTAACGTTGAAGTTAATGCACCTCTGCTCCTACTGTGCCTGCTTTGTGCCTATGATCTATTCATAGGGAGAAGTACTGTGTTCTTTCCTAGATTGACAGGAGATTTTCATTGCTTACAATGAACTAGTCTTGATCTGATTTAGCTATTTCTATCCTGGCATGTGGCAGTGGTGTGGTGCATTAACAGTCTCACAGCAGTCTTCAGTGGGTTCAATGAAATTAATGCGAGTATTAGTCAAATACTGGCTGACAATTTTCTTAGGCTGGGCTCTGACAAGAGTCGTGGTTGGGAAATTATGATTTTGTTATTTCATTTCACTTAACGTTGATGTGCGGGGTGATATATAAGGTGGTTATTTTTTAGAGTAGGTTCTTTATCCTGGCTCAGTCAGGGACTGGAGTCTGGTATTTGTATTAAATATTGTATCAAGTGATTTGCAGTAGCTGTGGGGTTTAGTGGGATGAGAGCTATTTGTTTTTACACAGAAACCTGTGATTCCTTTTGTTAGGGCTTTGAATTGCTTTTATGCTCCATTCTCACAGGAGAAATGCAAATGCTGCTGAAAAATTATATTTTGATTACGGGCAAAGGTAGCAGAGAAGCCTTACAGAAGAAGTTAGGTTTTAAAGTGTAGAAATTATGTTCCACTGCCCTCCCGCTGAGGAAATAGCACATGGAAGCACGGATGAGAAATACAACTGTGCAGCCACTGTTGGCCTGGGCTTTAGTGGTCCAGCCCTGTAGGAAGTTACAGAAGAGGCGCTCCAGGGACAGCAGGACCTTTCAGAGATTTTGGGTGGGATGTGGGAAAACCAGACTGTGAATGTGTTGAGCGTGGAGAAGCCAGGATGTGATTTGTGAGCCCAGACTAGCAGAGATGCTGTGGCAGCTCACTCAACAGGGGGCTGTGTCTGAGCAGGGTGAGGAGGGAAGCGGCTGACATGCCCACTCAGGGCTGCTTTTCCCGTCAGCAGGAGCCAGCAGACTCCAAACTGGAGCTCCCTGCAGCTTCCCCTTTGTTTTGGTGGTGGTTCTCACTTCTTTCCCAGCCCCGCTGTGCTGCTGGGGAAAACTCCCTGTGGCCTCACTGTGCTCCCTGCACACGTGATCCTATGCTCCTTCTTGGTTCATTTATCATAACTCATTAAATTCATGGATTTATTGCTGTTCTCCCCTGGGAGAGGGTGACTCTGTCCTTGAGCAAGGCTCTGCTTGCTGGTAGCACGTGACACTGTCTGGATGTGATGCTGGTTACTTCCCTGGCTTGCCTGGCTTGCTTCCTCATGGAAGGCTCTGAAATATGCATCCTTTGGATTTCACTGTCACCAGGTAATCTGATCAATGTAACAGATGACTGCCAAAATTCAGGTGGGCCCTTGAAGCTGATATGAGTATATTACATTATGGGCTGACCTGTTGCACCTTGGGTTATTTCCTTGCTCATGCAAAACAGCTATTTTATTCTGTCCTCCTTCAGCTCCTGAAGAAGAGCAGGTAGAAGTAATCAGTGAATTTTGTGGAGGAAAAAGGGCCTTTCCAGTCAGTTGAAAGACATGCAAGCTCCATTTCATCTTGGCTTATAAATCAGCAGCAGAGAAGTGCTGTAGTTCAGCTTTTCTTGTTAACTAGTGCATTAGGAACAGGAAGCAGTGCATTTAATGTTATATACTTAAATGCGCTGGCATTTACCTATTTAGCCATGTTTACCAGAGTAATTACAAGTCAGATTAAGTGTGGTGCTTGCTGACCTTTAAGGAAGGGCCCAAAACGAAAGGCAAAACAAGTTTTATAAATGTTAGGCAGAACAACTCAACTACTTGCCACAATCTCAGTATTTATTCATATAAAGAAAATAAAAGACTTGATGCAGACAAAAGATATTCTGATAGGTCTCAGTAAAAATTTCAGAAAGACTTTAAAAGAAAAAAAATCTAATGCAATTTTATTCTGTGATAGCTAGGGGGGAAAGGTTACAATCCTCCATTTACAATTTTGGAAATACAGAATAATCAGTGCTTGCAGCAAAAGTAGGATTCTCCTGATGTTTTTCAATTGTGACTCAACTGTTAAACCCAGATTGACTTAAATACAAGTTTGTTATTTAAATGTGAAAATAATTTATGGTAGCACAAGATAGAAATTGGAACTTAAAATATTCACGCTGGCTATTTATCTACTGGTTGCCTCCCATGAAAGCAATTAATTTGAGCACTTGGGTATTTTCATGCATTCTGTGGGGTTGGTTTTGTACAATTTACATGGAGAAGTGGTTTATTTCCAAATTACACCTCCTACGCTGAAGAAATTTCCCCAAAGTGGCATTGCTGGCGTTGCCTGTTGAAGTTACCCATGGAGAGCCTGCATTCCTGCCCTTGCCTGGTGGCTGCCTCAGCCCCTTCCTGCCAGGAGCAAAAATCCTCTTCCCATCACGCAGTTCTGCAGCTGGAGGCCCCTTCAGTCCCAGTTTGGGGCAGCTTGTGCTCATGGCTTGAGTGTGAAAACCAGGAAAATTTGGGCAGCTGAAGAAAATGCTCCTGCTTTTCTGTTGGGCTGAGGCCGGGCGTGGCAATGCCCCTCTGAAGATGGACACTGGCAAACTTTGGCAGCTTTGGGATGACCCTCTTCCAAAATGGGAAAATTACCCCAGGTGTCAGCATTGCCACAAGTGCTCTCCCAAGTCTTTCCTTGTCATCTGACTTAGTTGTGGAGATTGGCTTGGTTTTGTCTGTCTCCCCTGAGCAGCCATATGTATGAGAGAGATTTTATTAGTTTATCAAATGCAGAGTCGTCTCAGCATGAATCCTGTGCATGTGTGTGCCCTTTGAAATGCTTTCCTAGCATGGTGACAAAAGCAAACATTTTGACTGGTCAACAGAACTGTCATACGGATTTTAAGCTTAATATTGTTTTTAGGCTGTTTTCCCCACATTGCCTGTGGTGGGCTGCAATTTCTTCTTCCCTTTTACCAGGAGCACTGGAACTGCTCTGTCACTGATTTCACTGGTGTCATCTCTTTCCCAAAGGAAAAGGTACAGCTGATTCTCCTTTAGATGAGAGTCAACTCCTGTCCCACTCCTGACTATGCAGGGCTGTGTAAGCTCACCCTGGGATTTTGCAGACTCTCCTCTGTGACCAGTTGCATTTCCATGGGGCTATCCAATATCTTCCCAGAACTGTTTTGCTTTTCCACCTATGTTCCCTCTGAGGTTCAGCTGGGGAAGGACGATGAGCTGTGGGACAGCATGCTGACCTGCAGTAGCCATATATCTGAGTTACAGGTCTCGGGGTCTCTTCTTTCTTTTTTATCAAGCAGAATCCTCTCGTTTCTCAAAAATACTTAATAATACAAAGTTACTTTGGATTGCTTGAGCATTACACTTTCTCAATTACTGTTTGACAAAAAGGTGGGCTCGTGGATGCCCACTGGTAGTAGCTTGTAATACATTTTGAAAACCAGCTCTGTAATATACCTCTTGTTTGTGATTTTGTTGCTTATTCTGGGTGTGCTGTTTTGTCCAAATACCCACAGCTGAAGATTATGGGCATTGCAGTAGCAAAGCCTAGCAATTATATCCCCTCTCCTGTGCCAGCCTGGAAGCTAATCCCCGTGTCCCTTTGTTTCTCTTCCTTTGTTCCCTGGTAGAAAGGAAAATGCCCCTGGCCTTGCATCTTGGTTTTACGTTTTAGAAGTTCTGCAGGTTTTTCTAAAGATGGACAGAATATTCCATAGGGGACAGGCACCACATTACATCTGCAGGGTGGCCCAAAACCCAGACCTGAGACATACAGGCTAAGGGCTTTCTTTCCTTGAGCAAAGGGCTATCGTTCGCTTTCAGGAGCCCAGCACTGAAACTGCCAGTCTGACTCCCAAAATTGAATATGGATGAAGATTCCTCCTAGAAAAAAGGTGGCTGGACACACTTGCTACCCATGGAGTGCCCAGGGTAGCCCACAACCTGTCACTGACACCCAAAAGTTGCAGGCTTTCTTTCCTGGGGGAAAGGGGAGTCATTTGCTTTCATGAGCCCAGTGCTAAAATAGCCATTCCGAGTCCAAAAATTGAATATGGGCAAAGATTCCTCCCAGACCAAAGGTGGCAGGGTCTGTCCTGAGGCAGACACTGCTTTAATGTATTTCACATGAATTTAGAAGCACATGCAGAGAGGGAGAGCGGATCAATGTTTAATTATGCAAATAGTCTTCCAGGCTTTAATATTAAACTGGAATAAACCTGTCACTACAGCTGCACTGGGGACAGGCAGTGAGTGAGCTGCTGTGCTCGTGCTGGGTTAGCAGGGGGGACGTGGTGGATTGGATGCAGGGGGTCAGGATCTGGCTGGCAGCTCCTGGCATCACTGGAGAGCTGCCCCAGGGGCTGAGCTGCACCCAGCTCCCACTCACAAAGGCAGAGATGAAGTTTCTGGGTGACAATTGGTATAGCTGGGTCTGGCTATAGCATAGCTTTGTACAGTACTGTTATTTAAAGCTCTCTCAGTGTTAGTTCAGGCTCTGCTTGGCTCACCTGATGTGGATGTGTGGAGACACTTGTCTCCAGTGCTCTGCTGGCAGATGTGGCTGCAGTGACTTGCATGGTGAGGTACTGCACTCTGACAAGCCTGTGTTTCGTTGGGCTTTTTAATGAGGAACTCATTTAATTGGGCTGGACTTGATGAGCTTGTGTGGGAATCCAACTATGAAATTTCCTCTTGGTGAGAGCTTCACCAGGAGAGTGGGAATTACCTCCCTTCCTTGCAGGGCTTCCCTGCGGTTTGTGGGCACTGTCCATGGAGTCATGAAGCCCCCTTGTCTGGAGGGGGCAGATATGGATGCACAAGTATTGTGATGTTGCAAGAAATCTGCACTCAGTTGCCAGTCTTGTCCTACTTAAAAGCATTGTTGCTCTTTACTCTTTAATATGGTACCTCTTCTGTTTTAATTAAAACTTTCATAGGGCCATTGACACCTCTGTTCATTTTATCCACCCATTTCAGCTTCCCTATGTTCCCCAAGTTCCTGCTGAGCCCCGGAAGGAAGAAGACCCAGCAATGTGTGCCCCCTGGCAGGGATGAGGCTATTTGACCATTTGGGCGTGTTCAAATCTGGAGGAAATGTAAAATCTTCACACTACAAAGAAGTTTTTAGGAAACACATGTATGTATTTTTCTATTTAATCTCTCCTTTTAACCATCAGGGAGTGTCCCCAGTCCCCGGTGCTTGTGTCCAGTGCGGTGGCAAAGCACGTGGTTAATACAGCTGGTGTGTTTCTCTTAAAGTGGTGTTGAAGCTTTGTGGGTCTCCCTTTCCTGTGCCCATTTTTGGGACCATTTCTGCTTTTGTTTTTTTTTTTTTACTGTTGTGTTTTTATACCCTGCTGGATCTGCATGTGGATGAGCAGAATTGCTCATCTCTGAGCTCTTCTGGGGGACATGGTAGGGAGGGGCACATTTCTGATACCCTGCTTGCGTGGTGGTTATGTTCAGCATGGCTCTTACCTTGCATTGTGAAGATAATGGAGGAGGAAGAGGAATATTGCCTGCTGCTGTGTTAGATTAGGTAATGATTTTCTAGCTCTCACAAGCTCTATCAGGTTTGTTTCGGTGCCCACACAGAGCCTTGATTCGCTATCAAAAGAAAGTCTTGAATTATGCAAAGACTAAGCTATGAGTAGCAGAGCTACTGCTGAGCATGGTTTTACACTGCCTCTGCTGAATATTCATGGTAATCAAAGATCACAACTTTGTTTGCTGGAGTTAAAATATTTTTTTTAGTAGCTTGGACAATTCCAAACCTGCACAATATGTGTTGATACAAATATCAAATAGCTCTGTTACCTCCCCTAAAGCACCATTTTTTCAGGCAGTGGACAGAGGAAATGAAAACACAAGTCACGGTAGGATTTTGGGTACAAAACCAAGCACTTAAAACTGTTAATTCTTATTCTTTGTCTTTGGTCTTAATACAGTTCAAAGCCAGAAGATGAGCAAAGGCATTCCTGTACCCAGACTGAGATAAGTGAGTTTAGTTGCCATCCACCATGTTTCTGAGGTGTTTATTATGAGATGTCACAAGGTGCATGATAGAAAATAAAAGTATTTCTCAGTGCAGGTTTGTAGAACTGTCTTGTGCTCAAAGACTTGCTCAGGGTGGGGGGAGGCTTGTCTGGTTGAGAAGGGGATGGTTAGAAATGAAGCAGGGCCAGTATTTGCCTATTTGCTTTTATGATATGCTAAGGTACCTGCTTTTCCCCTTTGGGGTCTGCATGTTTCACGAGCAGGGTTTTGCAGCAGGGAGAGAAGGTAATTGAAAACATTTTTGGGCTGTGACAACGAGCTTTTCCCTCTAACAGAATCATGTTTTGCTGTTTTCCCTCTCAGCTTGCTGACAAGATGATAAAAGGTAGCATGGTGTGTGTGCCTTGATAAAACAGGAGCTTTACTTCCAAAGGTAGGTAGATAATTTAAAAAATGCTCTGCTTGAGAATGAGAGGACAGGGTGCTGTAGCTTTAACATGCTGATACGGGGAGAGGGATTGATCTCTGATCAGGGAGTGGTTTAGGGGGTAGGCAGGATGTGAAACTGGGTTTCTGTTTAGCCTCAGATGTGGGACAGTCTCAGAGGTGCCAGCAAAGTCACTGCTGAAATCACTGCTCCTGACTCTGACTGGGAGGGCAACACTAGGGAGCAGCTGCAAATGAAGGGGCTTGAAGGGGCCTCCGAGGACAGGAGGGGATCACCTGGTAATGTAGGGGATTTTGATCTTTCTGGTGGTTTTGTGCTAAGTAGTGGCATCCCAGCAAAGTATAGAGGGCAGCATTGGCAGTGAGTTTCCTTGCTGTTGTTGAGGAAAGGTGAGATTTGAGGAAGGATGAGGGATTATGTTTATTTCTGATGCTTGGGGGTGACTGAAAGCTTAGACTGCAATTCTGCCTGATCAGCAGAGGGGCAGAAGGTGAGGAAGAATATAGATGTTAGTGGTGCAAGCATATGGAGAAAGCAGAGAGGAGGGAAAGGGAGAAGGGATTCACAGATGGGAGGCAGAAATACAGTGAGCGAGGTGGATGGGGAGGAAAAGCCTTTCTACCAGACACATCCCCTTTTCCATTCCCGGGAGAGGCTGTTCCCCAGCGAGGAGCTCGGGTACCTGCAGATGGCAGCTGCAACACAGGGGATGGAGTTTGCCAGGTCTCTGTCAGCAAAATAAAGACCAGTATGAATTCAAGGGGAGAAAACAGCCACATTTCTCAGTCTGCAGTCTGGATCTGTCTGTGCTACTGGCTGCCTGCTGTAAAAGAGCTTCCAGGCAACAGACCTGATGGCAGACCAGGGGCTGTGGCTGTGAGGACTTTGTGGTGCTCCTCTGTCAGGGTTTAATAGGGGCCAGGAAGGAACCACCGCTACACCCTCATAATCCACATAGTTAAAACAGCTGAGAAAACAGAGGAGGAGGATCAGGCACTGCTTCCCAGCTGGCTCATGGCTGCAGCATGGAGAATGAGGCCTTGGGAACTACAAAAGCATAGAGGAAAGACCCTGCAGGTTTTCTCTGTTCAAACCTATATCCTTCCAGCCGGCCACTGGGTGCAGCATAGCCCTGTTGTTGATGGTTGCAGTGCTGGGCCCAGGCAATGAAACAGCCATAACTGCTTGGAAAAGCCCTCAGGGGAAAAAAGGTCAAAGACTCAAATAGGACAGTGGCAAGAGCTGTTAACTGAAAAATCAGCAAATGCTATGATGAGCAAAGGATGACCTGGCAATCCTTTCTCTCATCCCACCAGCATCTCTTTCTTTTTTCCTCTTTGCTGCTCTGCTTTTATGTTCCCTTTGGGATAATGCAGACAACAGGCAATCAGGCAAGACTTTGCAGGGAAGATTAGGAATAAGTGTTATATTTTGGGGGGGTTTTGGTAGCATAATAGAACAAATCCAGGGCATTTTTTTTTCAAAACCAACTCAATCCTTGTTGCTGTGGATCACAGGGCATAAAAATAAAGTGGTCTGATTGCTGGACTTTATATATGATGCATATGAATGCATTTAAACACATACTGATACTGCAAACTCTGTCCATGCAGATTAGATTTGAACCCCAGCACACCTTTTAAGCCACTTTAGGGCTGCTTGGTGGCCTAGATTTCTGTATCCTGAAGAAGATAACAGTAAAAGTTGTTTTGGTGCTTCCTGGTTTGAGGGGTGAGTTTGGGCAAACCTGCAGTAAACTGCCTTACGAGTTTCTGTATGGCTCTTAGATAAAATATCAGAGAGAAGCAGAGCTCAGGTTTTCAGGTTTTTTGAAAGCTTTAAGTGTCTTCCAATAACCTGAATTTATAGCTGTTTGGAAAGGATGCAGCAGAGCAGAGCAAGTTGGGGAACTCCTGCTGGAGACAGAAATTTGCCTTCAAGTAGTAGGCACAGGCTCTTGCTGCTGCTGCTAGCAAGGAGCTCACAGCCTCTATTATTTGATGGTTGAAAGCATCTTAGAGCTGTTTAAACTTAGAGCAGTTTGAGAGGAAAGCAACAGAGTGGAACACGCTGTTTGTACGGGTGACGTGAGCCCATGTGAACATGGGCTGTGTGCCCCTGAGGGGTTTGTCATCTCTGGGGCTGCCCACCAGTGCTTGGCTCACCCCGGCAATCCTGAGCTGCAGCACTGGGATTTGAGCTGTGAACAACGTGATCATGAAAACAACAGCTCTAAGTAGAGGGCTTGGAAAATGCTTTTGGAAAACGAGGAAGCAGAAACCCAATCAAAAATGCTTTCTCCCAGAATAAAGACATGCCAAGGAACTGTTCTTCCCTGAAATATCAGCCCTGAGGAGCTCTTGCCTAGGGCTGAAGATGTAGCTGTCAAGTGAAATGAGTGTGACTAGATCTGAGACACTCTCCTTGCTGCAGGTGTGCGTGCAAGTCCCTTAGGAGTCAGGACATGTCTATTGGGCACAACAGGTAACAGCCAACAGCTTATGTAAGTATGGAGTGGTGGGTAGGATGAACTTAGCTAGAGCATCCTGGAAGCAAAAACATGCTCTGTAGGAACAGATCTTAACTGAAATTTTAATTCCCTGGACTTACCATAGTGGAAGTGGCTTTAAAGGGAGGACATAGGGATTGTTTCTCTGTTGGGAACACAGTTCTCTGCCAACACACGGAGCAAAATGCAAGGTCTTGGCACTTCCTCGTGTTCTTTATACTGATCTGCTGCTTCAGAATGAAATTCTGCTCTGTGCAGCATTTGGCCCTTAAACCTTTGCAAACATACAGCAGTGCTTGAAAAAAACAAAACGAAACAACCCCCCTCCCCAAAACTACACAGTAACATGCAGTTTTTCCAGTATACTTTGAGAACTGCGCATTTCCAGTGTCTTCCAGCTTTTTATGGATCAGAGGTTGCAGAGATGTATTTGGTTTTAAATTAGGCTGAGGTTGTCTTTTATGCATGTGGTCTAAGAAACCTGAATTTAAAGCAAGTACAGCACTGTGGCACCACAGTGAATTGATGAGGCCTGGAAGCACCTCCAGGGAGCATCATTCTCCCACCATTCTCCTGTACAACAGACTCCTCTGATGAGGAGATAAGTGTGGAAGCCTCTGCAGTAGCCCTGGTGCGTTCTCTGTGCGGAGAGGGGGTTCAGGGTGCTGGGAAAAGCTTCCTTAAGGGATGTCCAGTGCTTATTGGTTTTGCTGACTCTCATGGCTTTACTGGCTTTGTGGCATTCGTGCCAATACCACAGCTCCTGGGGAAATCTGAGTAGCCTGAGAGTGTCAGAGTTGGAGCATCTCTTAGGCTCGTGATCCTGTGGTAAAGGGGAAAGCCAGGAACAAGATGCAACTGCAAGTTAAAGCAGCAACATTTGGGGAGGGGGGGTGGGGGGAAAATACATTTTTCAAAAACATTTTTTGATGTTTAAGGACTTGATCTGAGACCACTGTTTTGATGACACACTTGCTGATAAGTCCAAAAAGAGATTTATCTGTTTTCATTGAGATTTTGACTTAGGTGCAGTTAGTGATCTGCTGTAACTCTTAAATCAGTCCTCTCTTCTGGCCAGTTTTTCTCTGTTTTGTCTCTGCTACTGAGCTCATTTTCTTTTCTCAAATGTGGTATAAAATTTGTATGTACTTCCTGGAGCTTTAAAGATTTAATAGGGTCTTGTGGGGTGCTGTTCAGTCGATGTGTGCATGGCACAGAGGAATTGAAGGGTAAAAGTTCTTTTAGAGGTGCTGAGGGTTATGGTCCTGTTGAAAGATTAGTGAGAAATTCAGCTACACGTTTGTCAGAATCCATAAAACTTGTCAAGACTGCAAGTATGTGATGTCTGGGCTTTGGTGTTGGCTAAGCACAGTGCAAGTACTGGTGGGTATAAAAGCTGGAAATAAGAGGTTAGGTATAAGAAACACAAACCAAGCCAAAATCCAAGATGATGGAAGAGAAAGAGGCGTCCTGCCAAATACACCTCTTTGATTGTTCACTGACAGAAAAGAGACCTTCCAGAGCAGATTGTCTTCCCAGATGCAACTATGAGAAGAAACCGCATTATTGAACCAAAATCACATGCACATTGTGTGCTTATAATGATGTATAGAATATACAAAAAGTCAGAATTGGTACCGTATTTCCTGCTGATTGTAGATTGTCTCTCTCCCAAAGATACCTGCCAAATACTAACAGCACTTAAATATTTTTTGCTGTTTTAAAAGAAAATATTTGAATTGGAGGTAAAGGCTCAGAACTGTGAGGATTTCGCTGCCAGCAAACTCCCTCAATGCTGAAGGAGCCAACTTCTTGTTGAGCCAAGGGTGCAGGTAAAGGTACTTTGTGGTTATCAGAGATGGTTCACACTGAGACATTGCCTGACTCTTCACCTCGGCGTTGAGCTGAATATCAGTGACAGGCAGGGAAGGGGTTTCTTGTGTCCCTGTCTGAGATGCAAAATTGTGATTTCTGCTCTCTACCCCAGGTACGTGCCTGTGCAGGTGGCTAGATGGGAGCTTTTCCCTCTGCAGAAATCTGGGATTTGCAGAGAATAGCATTTCCACAGCCTTGTTTTCAGGTTTAGGCAGGTCTGGCTTGATTTTTCAAGGGAGCCAAGAAGACCTGCCTGCTGGGGAACATTAACACTGCTGTACTGTCTCACTGATGTCCTGAGGTCAGTGATTGTACCCCATGGTGAGTAAAGGACCCTTGAGTTGGAGATGTTCTGCTTTTTGCCCCTTCTGCCACCTCTCTGAAGAGCTGATAGAAGGAATGACTTTGAGAAAGCGGTTTGGACCTGCTTCAGTGCAGTAATGGGTTACTGAGAAGCAGCAGTACCAGGGAGCATGAATGCAATTTTCTCCTGCGTGTTTGGCTGAAGATCAGCACTGTGCTTCTGTGAATGGGAACATCGTTGGGTAAAATGATGAGACTGTTGCTGTCATTACAGTGGCGTCTTGCAGTTCTGGTAGCTCAAATCTAGCTTTTCTTGTTAACAAACTCTGAGAAGACTGTGGGAGTTTAAAAATCACCCCCTACAACCTATGCAGACCTTGAGCTATGAGCCAGACGGAGAGAAGAGCAAAGAAAATGCATATTTGCTTTTCATTCATGTTTTTTTTTAATCCAGCTGGAAGAGCTCTATACAGCTTTAAATGCTGTTGCATCTCATTTGTAGTTGAATGTAAGCTGATGGTAATAGATTATGTGTCAGGTATCTTGTGAGAGCAACTACCTGGCAGTGACATTATTAACAGTAGTTTAAATGATTGCACTTGTTCCAGAACAAAAGGTGGAGTTCTGTCTATTTTTAACTAGCATTTCTGAACTATCTGATTGGAGCTTGGTGCTGGGGGGAGGCCTTAAAAGAAATACAAGTTTTCTTCATGATGATCATGAGGGTGTGATGGCTGAGGGAGCATCACAGTGTTTGGGGACCACGGTGGCCCCTGTGCCTGAGGATGGTGTGTGTGCACAGACTGGGGTGTTTATCTAGGGTGTTCCTACAAATTCCTGGGACAGGGCTGCACCCAGGGCCAGGGATTGTAAGCACTGTTGCTTGAAGGTTTCCTGGGACCACAGTGCCCATGAGAGCAGGAGCAGAGGCACAGGGAGGAGGAACATTTAGCAGGGGCTCTCACCAAACCAGGATGATCCCTGGCTTCTCCAGTAATTTGCAAGGCATCTGCTTCCGTAGATGTCTCTGGCATTGTCAGTGAGCCCCACCTGGAACAGATTATGGGAAATAAGAGCCCATAATGATCAGGCTACAATGCTGTGAGATTTTGACCTGGTGATTCAAAGGACCTTTTCCCAGTTGTTCATGCTGGAAAGTTCTTGTATGTTTGTTTCAGTTTTCTGTTTGCTTCTTCCCAACTCCACCTTCAGGGAGCTGTTAAATTTTATGGGGATTATTGCTTTGGAAAACAGCAGGAGGTCCTGTGGCACTTTGTACCAGCCAGCCCTGCAAGAGCCAGTGAGCCTGGCTTGGGAGAGGCCAAGGAAGGTGTAAAGAGGTGCTGTGGAAATGCAGGTGGGCAGTTCAGGTACGCAGGAGGGACCAGGGGTGCAATTTAAAGGCTCCACAGAGGGATGTGCTTGTCTGATGACTGTTCCCTTCCATCTCAGTGCTATGAAGGACATCTGTGCCCAGGGTTTGCAGTGAGGGACAGTCATCCCCTTGTGTATAGTGACCCCTTGTACTAATTCCCTTGCACAATTAACTTTGCACGGTTTTGAATCCTTTCCTTGCCTTCAGGGGAACCCCAAATAGTAAATGTTTAGGGCTTGTTTTCTTTTATTATGTGAGGGGGCCCTCCATGGCAGCACCATATCCTTACAGAGTCCCTTGGCTGGGAGGTCTGGAATTGTCCTCCATGGCTGGCCATGTGCTGCTCAGTGACTCCCTGGAGCTGACTGCAACCAAGAAATGTGTTGTGCTAAGGTGGAAGTGACACTGTTACAGCTGGATGTCTCCCTCCTAGAAGCAAGGGAAGAGAATGAAAAGAAGAAAACTGATAATTACAGACTGGTTTGCAGTTACATGAGGGAGTTTAAATTACCTGGTATGAAAGAAGTGATGAGACAATGCTAATTGCACCCTGCAATGGTGTCTTTTAAAGTCAAAATGGAAGGGTTTTTCCTTCAGAATTTCTCAGGAAGTTTTTAGTGATGCTAGACTCCCAGGGGCAGAATGAGCTGAACACTGCTGCAGCATCCTGTTGACAGGACTTTTCCAAGCATTCAGCTTTAGAAATAGTCTATGGAAGGATGACCGTGTTCTGGGCACCAGAACCAAAAATGTTTGAGTGGCAAGTCCTCCTTGCTCCCCAGACCAATAATTCTTCATAGCACTTCAAGTCATGCTCGAAAATGTTGAATCTGTTTCCCCTTAAAGTTGGAAAGACAGAAGAAAAGTTTGGAAATAAACATGGAAGAACACCTGGTTTGCAGGAAACTTGTTATGGGAAAAAAAGTTATCAAAAGTAGCCTGGTGATGCCTTTTTTTGCTGTTGCTCTTTATATTAGGGGACCTACTTTGTAGGATTTTCTTAAAAATGCTTTCATGTGCAAAATTCAGAACTTATAAATCAAAGCTCAAATGAGACAACATTAAGGACGGAAATTTTTATTCCTCGTTTGGAGCAATGTCATCCAATTTAGGGCTTGGCAGAGAGGAGTGAAACATCAGTGGAGTCAGGGTGCTACTTGTTTCCAATAAACATTTGGTTAGAACATTGTTCATATCAATCTTACTTTTTCTTACCATAGTTTTTTAAAGGCTCTTGCAATATTTGATATTCACGTGCTGGAAGAGTAATTTAAGTAGGTAACAGATAACAGAGCGTGACCCTTAAATCTTGTTCTTAACACAGAGTGTTGGATGGCAGCAACTGCAAATATATGCCTGGCTTTGCAGGATGCCAGCTCGTTGTCTTGGGACACAGAGCTCACCTTAAATGACAATTTTATATTTAGACGTTCATTGCTGAGCCAGACGAACAAAAAGAACTGCAGCATTTAATTTTTTTTTCCCTTTTTGTTTTATGTGGAGGTCTTACGCAGGCTGACGGCAGTCCTGGAGAAGAGATCCAGCCTCGCTCCAGCGGGATACACACGCAGATTTTAATCAGGAGCGACAGCTATGGAGCAGAGCTGTGTGTGCAGCACCTCTGAGACCTGTGCTCCTGCTGGTGCTCACACTTGCATGGAGGAGGAGGTGAGCAGGATGCCAAGCAATAACAGTGATAACATTCGAAATTTCTGGAAGAAATGCAAGCATTTGTTTCTAAGAAGTTGTTTCTGCCTGTGTTTTTCTTCATTCCTGTCTTTTCTGTTCCTTCTGATAAGCAGAAGGATAAGCTGTGAAGTGGGTTAAATGAGAAGGCTTTCCTGTGAGGAGGAAAAACTGAAAGTGTCTTGGACCCATATTTTGTAGTTAAATGGATTATAGCTGTCAAAACGTGCTGTAGCAAGAGGCTGAGTAAGGCTGGGTCACAGACTGAAGAAACTGCGGGTGATTTAGGAAATCTGGAGGCTTTTTGCTTGTTTGAGGTGTGTCTGGTTTTTAAGTGCTTCTGGAGAGCTGGATATCTCCAAGTGTAATGTCAGATTGTTTCAGGGTCGAAAAGAAATGTTGAATTGCTGCAGGACGGGTGTGTGAGGTTTGCTGTGTCTGTGGGCACTCCAGGAGGTGCAGTGATGTGGGCGGTGAGGTGGGATGTTCCCAGAGCTGCAGTGATGTGGGCAGTGGGATGGGGACATTCCCAGAGCTGCAGTGATGTGGGCAGTGAGATGTTCCCAGAGCTGCAGTGATGTGGGCAGTGGGATGGTCCCAGAGCTGCAGTGATGTGGGCAGTGGGGTGGGAACATTCCCAGAGCTGCAGTGATGTGGGCAGTGGGATGGGGACAGAGCTGCAGTGATGTGGGCAGTGGGGTGGGAACATTCCCAGAGCTGCAGTGATGTGGGCAGTGAGATGTTC